CTGATGACAACAAACATACCCTGAAGGTTACCTCAGTTTTTGGAACCAAAATCTAAGATTATCCACTTACAGAAGTTGAAAGGATAATTTAACTTCAGGAACTGCTTTTGTTCTTTAGACTTTTCACTTGTTGATGTCAGCAATCAAGACATCAGATCTGTTGGTCACTAAATTAACTGTTTGTATATGTTCTGCCACTTGTTGAGCTGCTTGATGTGGTTTATATTCACAGAGAAAGGACAATATCAGCATCACAGTCTAACCTAATCAGCATTTGTCCTGTTGTTAACATCAGGTGACAACTAGCCTCAAACACACCAAACTGGTTTTTGCCATGTGTCTTAAAGACACAAAGGAAGGGAAAATGTGTAAGCACAGAAAATAAAATGGAGGAAGTCAACTCCATATCCATTCAAATAATTATATTTACAGTTAATCAAGTGCTGTGGATGATTATTCATAAAATTTTACTTTACATAGCGATGTTTAATCTTATTGTTTTCAGTGCAGTGACTGCTTTAATCTGCAATCTGTATAGTTTGGTAAGTGGATTATGCAAAGAAAAAGTTACTTTAAAGAGCACCTATGGAGAAAAATCTACTTTTCAAGCTGTTTGGACAGACATATTTATAGATATAGTGTATAGACTGTCAAAATGGAGTGATATAAACAAACCCAATGCTTTTTTTTTTTTCAACTTAACAACATAAAAACGATGGACCAATTGGAGCGGTTTTCAGAACGACCGCAACTTGATGTAGGAGTGCGGTCCCTCCGCCTACCGAATTGATTAACAGCTGCCTAGTAACATGTCCAGGAAGTCACGTGAATAATCATATCAACAAGAGAGGATGAGCGCGAAGCAACCGGGAATAAAATATCTGTTCAGTTTGCTAGGATCATCAATCATCATCAAATGTGATCAAGAATGAGTTTTACAAGTTTAAAATATTTTAAACAGAGCATGTGTGTAATGAATTACAGCGATTTTCTTCAGCTTTACTTGATCACCACAGTCGCGTGTAAGAACAATTATAAAAACGACGCTTCAATTCCGGTTTGTGGACGTTGAATCAGGTTTATTGTACACCAACATAACAGATATTCATACAGCAGTGGAAATTAATCTATATCCCCTCACATGTGTGCAAAAAGAGTGCAAAGCTAAACGCGCTGTCTGTCTCTGTGTGTGTGTGCTGCGCTGTGTATGTGCGTGTGAACTTTGTAACAACATTGTGTGTGACTCATTGTTAAGTTTACTGAACACGTAGCGTTTGTGAGAAATACTATGGTAAAAACTTTACATATTAGTATTTAATGTATTTGTTGTGAGATCTGCTTCCTTTAAGTCTGTCTGTTGTCTGACACAGCCGAGGGAGGAGATTAAGGCATGCTGAAAGGCATGTAGAAACGGTGGGCGGGGAGAACTAGCTTTAAAGATGCAGTACAACGTAACCGCCTCCTGGTGCAAAAATGTATGAAATAGAAGCTTATAAAAGGTATAATAAAAATCTGATGGGTGTTTTGAGCTGAAACTTTACAGACACATTCTGGAGACACAAAAGACTCTTATTAAATCTGAAAAAAATGGGTAACCTAGGTGCCCTTTAAACTCAGACTACTGTAAGCAAATATATCAGCGGTAATCCATCTGACTCAACTCTGTAGAATTTCCATCCCAATATGAAGCAAATCTTATCAGAATTCAAAAAAAAAAAGTTTAAATAGGCCCTTTTTAAAGGCTGATTGTAGTATTATCAACCTAGTAACCAACAGTAAACAAGGCAAGCATAATGGAGACAGTTGATTGGTCACATGGGTGTAATGCTCTTTACATCAGAGTTTATTTGGCACATGCATTTACATCTCCGTTTTCTCTTATATAGATATATCTTATATATCTCTCTCTTATATAAAATTAAAAGCCTGCATGCAGGGCTTTTATTTTGAAGCGACGTCACAAGCTCAGATCTGGTTGACCAATCAGAGAAAAATAAGCGTTTCAGCACGCCTACATGTGTACAATGAATTTTAAAGTCGTTTATCCATTTTCCCGTCCTAAATAAAAAAATAAAAATCTCGTTTTTTTTTTGTTTGTTTTATTGTTAGCAAAAAGAAAAATGGCAGTTTTCTTTCTTTCCTTTCATCCGTTTAAAACTCGAAAACAAATGAACAAAAACGCACACAGACCATACACAGACCCCCGAGACCATCACAGATATATTTATTACAATTTTTTTAAAATAAGAAATTATATTAGTAATTATAGAACTTAATGCAATATTACATTATTAAATTAAACGATGCCGTCTACACCAATGCTGTGTGCTTGCACAAGTAAGAAAGCGCTTAGGTGGAGGAACCAGAACCATTGATATCCGTAAAAAAGGCAAAGAAATCTGACATTTTAAGTCAAGCAAAGGATTTTTTCTTCCCAAGAGGAGCTTTGGTCACAACGTTTTTGATTTTCAAAAATCAGAGCTTGATGACGACATTACTGTATGTGAACTCTACACATTACTTCAAATGGGAATGCTGATATTTTACCTGACAACAAAGTGCTTCCCACATGATGATGGACTGATGAGTGATACTGAGACACAAGCAGAAAAGCATAAACCACAAGAACAATGTGAAACTCTTATCATTTCTGCTGATACAACTGACTCTGTATCAGAGTCATCAGAAGTCATAATAGGCCCTTACACAGTTGAATATATGGTAGGCCATCTGGATGACACACTGCTCTACGAGCCGATGCACTTGTCTGTCACACAAGACTCAGACTTAGCCATCACTAATGTCATTTATCCATTTACAAGTGATGCAGTCAGTATGATTGATTTGAGTTTTCCAGAGGACGCATTCAGTCCTGTTGCAGATCAAGTGAATGATGAAGCTAACGCAGTCGACTCTTCAGCTGCTGAATATGATCTCCTGCATGTAACAAAACTGCATAGGATCACTCTTTTTGCATGAGATGATTGGCCAGTTTAAAGATCCAAGATTCATGACGTACAAATTGAAGTACAGTATCATAGATGAAAAGGAAGCTGTTGAAGATGGTGTGTCCAGAGATGTGTACTCAGGCTTCTGGTGGACAGAAGAGGAGGACATAAGAGTGCCTTCACTTTCTCCAAAATGGCAAGAGGAAGATTGGAAGTCAATTTGAAGAATCTTAGTCAAAAGGATGCAAAGACCAAAGGATATTTTCCAACTCGCCTGGGTACAGCTTTCACAGTGACACTCTTTTTGGAGAGCATTCAGTCACAGATGAAATGATGATTGATTAATTCCTCTTATACCCAAATCAGTCAGAGAGAGATCTGGTCTCTTGTGCCTTAAAACAGGGGTGTCAAACTCAATTCCTGGAGGGCCGAAGTCCTGCACAGTTTAGTTCCAACCCTGTTCCAACACACTTACCTGTAGGTTTCAAACAAAGCCTGAAGGACTCAATTAGTTTGATCAGGTGTGTTTCATTAGGGATGGAACTAAACTGTGCAGAGCTGCAGCCCTTTTGGAACTGAGTTTGACACCTGTGCCTTAAAAGAAGATCTCATTGGAGATGACTAAGATGAACTGCTGGATCATTTGGGTGTGACGACCATGGCAACACAATAAAACATAAAAAAAACTGATGCTGAAAGCTGGCCACAAACAGATCCTCCAACTTCCTAAATATGCTTTGGACAACATGTCTATAGAAGCCAAACATATTCTCAGGGATACCTTCAAAACTCCTGAGGACATTCTACAGCTGTATGAAGACAAGGGACCAACAACAAGGTTTTTGAAGTTGCTTGATGGCTCACTTTCATACTTTTCACATTCATACTGTAGAGAACATACTTTTCTAACGGCCGAGTAGTACGTCTACATTCAAATGCAGTACCTACTGAGTAGTAGGCCGTTTCGGACGCAGCCTATGAATGTGAAAAGTATGAATGGAATTCGGACAAACTACATCCGTTGTTTTGTCATGGTCACGTGACCTACCAGCGTCATTTGCGTCGCTTCACTTCCATTCATGAATTCGCTCGCAGGGCATCATGGGATAGTGCAGCGTGCATGGGATGCGCACTCCAGAATCTCGCCGGAAGTAGTAAGTCATCCGGGTACTTCTCGCATACTGATTTTCGAATTTTATGAATTCGGACATACTACTCGCACTGGTCTTCATCCAAACGCACATCACCGGTAACACTCCACACCTGGTCCAAACGTAATCACGGCAAAACACCGCACCTGTTCAACACTCCGAGAGAATACCAAATCATGGAACACCTCCCTCTAGTGGACACTGGTTAAACAACACTACGACCGTCACAACTTGTTATGGACATTGTTGTCTAAATCATGACCAAAATGTCAACTGGAACATACTGTGCTGATTTGTTATTAAGTTTACCAAAAAAGAAGAATGTTACAGTTAGCTAAAGACATGTTTTAATTTGTTTGCGTTTGCTTCAAATGTCCATTGTTAGGGGTAATGGAAAAATGGCTAAAAATAATGTTTTATAAGTTCATTGCTTAGAATTGAATTGTTTATATTTAATAGATACACATAGATAAGCATTAAGTTTCAAGTTCAATTGCTAACTTTTTTGGTATACCTTCTAATGTAATTCAGCTTTAACCTTCCACCATTAGTTCATGTTAAAACATTTCAGTGTGGCTGCAAATGGAAATCTACTGTACTAAAAAGTCAGGGTTCAATTTAAAGTTAAATAAATAAAGAGTGATTAATTTTTTTTTTACAGTATTTACATTTATTTATTTACTCTATATACTTTCATACTTTCACTACAATCCCAATTTTCTTACAGAGTATGGTTTCCTCTATGCATTCAGTATTTTTACTCTGTGTGTGTGCCTTCTCAAATAATACACCTTACACATAATGAATGCACACTGAATGATTTTGTCATTGATTTATGTTTCTAAATGAAACACTTTTTTCAGTTAAGATTACCTGGTACAGATTATGTACAACAAATGCAAATAATAAAATGTATATATTTCAAGTGATGTATGTTGTTACAATTGTTGCTTACAGAATTGAAACCATACAGCTCCTCAAAAACATCAAGCTTCATCAGGTGTTGTTTGTGGATCTCATCACATGAGTATGGCCCTCTCAGAAGATATTCCTCTTGACAGGGTTCTATAGCCTCCTGAGAAACTGGCTTTAGGTAATCTCTTGCTCCAAAAAGGTGTGGCAGGTGATACATCGTGATAGGATGGCCATTGGAAGCCACATTTCTGCATTGACAAATTCTGTGAGTAATGCACAAATGCAGAACTTGTTGCAGCTCTTCCTATAACAGTGAAACAAATAAATATGTTTGTAAATGTATTACAAAGTAATCTCAGATTGTACAAGAAGCACTGCATTAAATTACATTTTCCCCGCCATGTCTTTATAATATGAGCATTTATTTTACCCCAGTATATTCAATGGAGTTTCTGCGCTAACCTGCCGATTCTGACGGGCGTGTGCGAGCAAACGGCTTTTTGTCTCGTTATACGCTTGAGCAACTAGATGGATGCCAAAGTCTGTTTAACTGATTGTATTTGAATTACATTGCAACATCGATGCTGTAAAAGGAACCGTGTAAAATGGAAAAAAAAAAGATCACAACAACAGGTCACTGGAAGTTTATCAGTATGGGAAACACATTAACTTGGCATATACCCAGTTATACTAAACAGTTAATTAACTGTGTCATATTGGTTTAGTAATGTAATCTTAAAGTAGGGCTGCACTCTCTACCCTAGGGAAATATAGCTACTATTTAAAATAAACAGAAATTAAATTAACCTTGTAAAATCTGCCTTTTTAAGAATGTTACAACTAACCAGCTTGCCCTGCAAGTGGGGTATAGTAACATTTTTACTCCTGGCACTTTTGGCAATACTGCACACCCAGTTAGAAATTTGACGTTCCCAGAACATTCTCAAAACGTCACCGTCAGTGTTAAGGACGTCCTGAGAAGGTCACGATGTTGAGTTCTTTAAAAGTTTGGAGGATGTTATTTGGGGGATCTTTACAGAACATTCAGAACCTTCTCAGAACGTTTATGGGACCATACTTTTTTGGAAATTGTGATGTTCTCATAACATCCCCGGCGGTGTTAAGGACGTTGATTAGTGACGTTCCCAGAACGTTCTGAGAAGGTCACAATGTTGAGTTCTTTAAAAGTGTTAGGGACTTTATTTGGGGGACCTTTCCAGAACATTCAAAACGTTCTTAGTATGTTTCAAGTGGTGCTCGCTGCAGAGCCATTTGAGGAGAGCTGAGCTCTAGCGATGGGGAGCTTAAGCTTGAGCTCCACCTTTTTTGCACTTCTTCTACGAGTGATGTCACTGGGGGTAGGGTTAGGGGTGGGGTTGGTGTACGCATTAAAACAGCTTACAGGAGGAGGAGCGACAGCTCATGCTTTCCCTCGCTGGAGCTCAGCTCTCCTCAAATGGCTCAGCAGTGAGCACCCTCTCGTATGTTTAGGGGACCATACTTTTTTGGAAAATGTAACGTTCTCAATACATTCTCATAACGTCGCCGTCGGTGTTAAGGACGCTGTTTAGAAACATTCCCAGAATGTTCTGAGAAGGTCATGATGTTGAGTTCTTTCAAGGTGTGGAGGACGTTATTTGGGGGACCTTTACATAACATTCAGAACGTTCTCAGAATGTTTAGGGAACCAAACTTTATTGGAAAATGTGACATTCTCAGAACTTTCTCATAATGTCCTTGTTGGTGTTAAGGCCGTTGTCTAGTAACGTTGCCAGAAGGTTAAGATGTAAAATAGAGTGGAGGAACTATGACGTCACTTTGTAGGCTAATCGGCTGCTAGCATAAAACTGGTTCCCTAGTGAAAATCCCTATGGGGATTTTCCCAAAGGCTTTTCGAAGATTGCAAATAATAAGCTCTATGTTCAAACACTGTTCATTACACTTACACGTTTTGTCCAGTCGGATAATCGTCACACGAAAATACAACTTTGAGCACTTTTGGATCTTAAATACAAACGCAAGAATTGAAAAGCTAACATTAGGCTATTAACGGACTACATCAGTGCCCTCGGGGCGCTCGTCTGTGACATCAGCCCCACCCTGCTACAGACAACTTATCAAGCTTATTTTTTAGAAATATTGTCCATGACAAAGAGTTAATCTCTCTGTTTATTATATATTAATGCTCACTATATATTATAAACAAATAAATACGCAAAAAACATAGACCTATGTGCCTTTTGGATCGTTTTTACGGTTGTTCTAAAAGTTTTAAAACTGTGTGTATAAATCTGCCTACATAGTATTATTATAAGACATATTTAAATAACACAGCCTCTTTACCTTAACAGACGACAGAAATTAGGCGCAAGGAACAAGTCTATCAAATGCCTGCAAGTTCCATCATAGACACAGAGCAACATTCAGTTATTCACACGTTTGCATTACTGAGAGCAGGACAGAGACAGGCTGCACTGGTGAGCAGTATCGTCATAATATTGTTTAATTAAAATAAATGATCAACAACTGAATCTGTCTCGATCTGAATTCCCATTTAGAAAATTACTACAGACTATAAAATACTATTCATGAAAATACCTAACAGACAAATCTAAATGCCCAACACAAGCGAGCTGCACTCTAGACCATATCGATGCCGTATAATGTCCCTGACATCGCCTGTAGTCCCATTTAGCAACTTGATAGCAACAGTCTTATTAAAGAAGCATAACCGATTTAAAAATTCAAGAGTGTGCTGTAACTGATTTGTTTTATGTCGAAGAACAAAACGTGAAAGTATCTTGAGTTTGTGTTAGGCGCAAACCTTATTTAAGCGATTTTACTGAAACCCCATTGAAAAAACCCATTGACTTTGGGACGAGGGAACCGGAACTGCTAAAATGCTAACTCGCTTCTGGGTTTTTGCATACAAATTGACGTCATAGTTCCTCCACTCTAATAAAATGTTACTAAAATTGGCTTTATTGGCAGAAAACATAAAGCATTTGTCAAACAATTAAATTTTTAATATGCTGTGTCTGTTTGTGTGCGTGTCTTAAGTCACTTTGTCTATCGTCCCGTTGTCTTTCAGCTGCCTGAAAAAAAAGCAAAAATAACAATATTTACAAATAAGTTCACTTACTTTGTATTTAATAATTTTTTTTTTACATTCAGGTGTATACAGTGGTGCTTGAGTCTTATAAAATAATGCAAAATTAATATATTTTGAATTCTAAACAATATAAATCTCCATATCTACATCCCACTTATCTTTTTTTAAAGAACTGCCACTCAGACATCTTTTGATAAGGAAACAGTGTTACAGACTCAACTGAAGACATCCATAAGCCTACATAGTTATTTTAGTTTAAGCGCAAAAATTTGTTTCCAAACTACTTCTAAATTTAATTCTTATTTCCAACTAATAAATAAGCAATTATATAGAAGTGTGGTCAGAAAACTGAGTTGTATCCAAACACACACCCTGTTCTTATGCCCCATATAGTCCAAAAATCCACAAGTGGACTAATCTAAGCTTGTTTTTAATAAAACATATAAATATGCATATATATAATAATAACGATACTAACATTATACAAAGGCAAGTTGTCTTAAATAAACTGAAAAAAGCTCCCCGAGATGAAGGCATGGAGGCAGTGGTGTTAATATTGACGTAGAAAATAATATATTTTGTAATATTGTAATCCTTTAATTCGTTCTGATTTGTAAAGATATTTGTGCTGCTTTCAGCTGGTCTATTACACGGTTTATTTTAGTTCCTCAAAATAGCAACGCACCTACAATGTGCCTTAAAACACTAGTCAAACATTAATTGATTTAATAAGTTTTCTTGTAATACCCATGTTTCCTCCATCTCTGTGATCAGCTAGCTCCCATCAGGTATTTAGAAATCTCTTCTATTCTGTTGTGAGGGTAACAGGTAACTTAATTGTGTCAGTCCAGAAATCTGGTTGGCTAGTTTAAGCGTTTTTTTCCACAAGGGTTTTTAATTCGTTTTTGACAGTTCAGTGGATATTTTAGGCTATATACTACACGATCTCCTTTTAAACATTGACAAAAAACATTGTTATTAAAAGCTAAAACTTTATAAACAAAAGCCCAGTACGTTAGCCTAACGCTAGCGTTACCTATGCTAAGGCGCTAACGGACTTTTACAAGACTCTAACCATCACTATAAAATAAATATTCAACACAAATGTCAATTACCTGTAAGAAAAGAGTCGGGAACAGTTTTATGTAATATTCGAATGCTTTAAAGGACTAAACTTACCTGAAATTGGCGAAAGCAGCGAGAAAGTAGCCGCATGAGCAGTTTTGTTGACAGGCAGATCGAAAGCCGTTGTTTATGTATTAGGGAGTCGACTCCAAAGAGTCGATTCCTCGATTCCTCAAGTGCTGAAATTGACTCGAAGACAGGAATCGACTCCCAGAGACACTGCAGTTATAATGCTCATTTTTGAGCACGATGAACATCGAAGACACGTTTTACGCGTTTGCTTTTGAATTTTGAGACCACGAGCACTAGCTATTAGGATTAGTGTTGCAGGAGGGCTCCTTGTAACGTTATTATGTTACCATGACCAAAACAGAACGTCCTCATTAAATCATATTGGAAACGTTATTATATGACTAAGGAGGGCCATGTGAAAACGTTCTGTTAACGTTAGAAAGTTTCTCTTTGTAATGTTATTATGTGACCATAGCAGGACCAAAACAGAACGTCCTTATTAAAGTCGAGTCATCCTTGTGTTTATAATACAATAAGAGGCTCTAAAAATCAAATGATATTTCATAAATCCTTCAGATTGGCCAGATGATGAACTCCTTTGAATGTACACAAATGTTGTGATTAAATTCCATAGATGGTGCCCCCTTTTCAAAATATCAATATAGATATCAATACCAATAGGGGGTTAATATTTGATAGCAAAACTATGACTATGAATTTGGTGCCATGTGTGAGACAACCAGATATGCTACATTATGTGAACGGGCTTTTACAATGTAGATAAAGAAAATGTAAACATGTTCTTGATCATCAAAACTAATAGATTTGTTAATCCATTTTACCAGCTAAAGATTTTTTAAATCCTTGGTTAGCCAATATTTGTATAAGCATAATTCTGAATGGGAGTTAATGTACTATTAACCCTGGGTTATGAATTCTTGCTCCAAACTATATAGAGCTGGACCAAAGTTAAAGTGTCAAAGATACTATGTGAAGCACAACAGTAATGGAATGTCTCTGCTGGCTGTTTAGCATCAGACAGCCAATCATAAACATACACTGCAGGCTTCATTAAATATTCATACACTCAGGCTCAGACACTTTAGCAGGCTGGTTTTAGATACAGTGGCTGAAAGAGTGACATTAACAGGAGTGATGAATAGTATGCAATGGATAATCAATGGATTGCTGTGTGTCAAAGGATTTGAAATACACAATGCAGAAGCTAAGAACTGCTAGATATCAAGTGCATTTAAAATCCTTTAATGTACGGCAAGCTGTTTATTATATCCCACGTATTATTTTAAGTTAGAGACCAGTTAAATGAGTTTTGCTCTTTGCTAATCAAGATTTTCATCAGTTATGATATTTTAGATCTTTTTTTCCATCTGTGAGCGAGATTGTGTGTGCATGTAAATGACACGGGCATATCTAATAGCTCATGGTAACATATTAGCAACCTCTTGCAAATATTTTTGCACATATTTGTGTGTTGGCTAATCCTCGTCAGCTCTCTGATTCAGCACATGTCGACAAAGAGCTTAGAATGACCAAAAGGCGATAGAACATTCTTTCAACAGAACGTTCCATTGCAACAGCAGCACCCAGCAACAGCCCGGGATTCTGCCATTTTGGAGTGAAAGTGGTCGGCCGTCCATTGGATCTTATTGCTGTCGCGATGGCAAGCAGCTGCTTTATTTTTTATTTATTTATTTATTTTTAAAGCGAATAAAAGCTGACATACAACCTAAAAGACGATAATACAACACTTACTATCACAATCATCAGCACTTGTTTATTTTACAGACTTATATGCTGCTGTTGTTCTATTAGAGTTTTCATTCCAAAATGGATGCCAATTTTTTTCCCAAATTGCACTTGAGTGTCGCCTCTTGGTGATTCTATGCTCTTTGATGTCGATATCCTCAGGATTACGCAGGAATGTAGGCTGTCAATGAGTTACTATGGTTACTACTAATGTTTAGGGAAGTGCATTTTTTTTAACTGATCAAAACCAGATCTTACAGCCAATCTGTATCAAACATTTCAGAGCATGGAATTATTTACAATCAATCACCTTCACTAATAGACATTTAGGGAAACGTGACTTTTCTATGTCGAAAGAGGTCTCTATTATGATAATGAAGTACAATTTAGCATATTTTAGCCCTCTAACTATAACTGTCACCCAACTTTCTGACTTGTAAATTATATTTTTATATGCATATGATACATTGTGTATTATCAAGTTCATTTTTAGACATAAATAAATATGTACCAAAAATGTTACATTTGAATAACAGTTAAGAGCTTAATAAGCGACTTAGTATAAAACACATAATTGAAAATGATAAGTGTGAAATGAGTGTGATTTAATGAAAGCGTACTGTATTTTATTTTTCTATCAAGAGCAATTTTCTGTAATCTTTTCAGACACAGTTATGTAAAATGTTCTGTGTAATTTCTTAATGACTACTTTTCTTTGAAATGTGATTAATGCTATGGCTGTTGCTAAATGCAGATTTTATTAAGTTTTATGATTATTTTTTTAAACATTTGTAAGATCTGAAGTACACCACAAGTGCAGAGTGAGGAGGGAAAGGAGAATCTAAAAAATAACAGGACAGTTATTTACAGTATGACACTTCTGACTCAGCATGTGGTTTTGCACATTATACATCATTGCAACATTTCCATGACATTGCACAATGTAGAAACTTTTAAGTTACAGCTTCAGTTTTAAAATGACCAAGTGCCCCCTTGATCAGGAAAGAAGAGGTTTAAACCACCTCTGAATGAAAATTTTTGCAAGTTTGATCAATTCACACTATGAAAGCTTGGTTTCATTCATTTATTTATTTTCTTTCGGCTTTGTCTCTTTATTTATCAGGGCTTGCCACAGCAGAATAAACTGCCAACTTATCCAGCATTTGTTTTATGCAGCTGATGCCCTTCTAGCTGCAACCCAGTACTGGGAAACATCCATACACTCTCATTCACAAACATACACTATAGCTTATTCACCTATGATGCATGGGTTTGGACTGTTGGGGAAACCGGAGCATCCAGAGGCATCCCTCACAAACACGGGGAGAACATGCAAACTTCACACTAAAATGCCAACTCACCCAGCCGGGACTCAAACCAGACATAAACCTAATCTGTTTATGTTTACATCGCACATTTATAAATTTTTTTTCTTTTCAGAATTGCAAGATATTCTGTAAACAGACTATTATAGTATGACTGTTATGGTAAAAAAATTTCAATTGTGAGATAAATGTGTAAAGTTTTTAAAAATAGTAAAAAAAGTTAAGTCTGCGAGTTATAAAGTCAGAATTTAGAGACAGAAACTTTATATTTTTAAATAAGAATTGCTGAGTTATATCTACATAATGTATCTTACAATCCTATAATAACTATCAAATGCAGTTCTTTTTGATATCTGCAAATTAGAACTGGCAATGCAATGGAAAGTCATGGCAACAAATCTTTTTTTTTTTACGTTACTTTAACTTATTTTAAGGTCAGTCAGGTTTCAACTAAATTTTTTGCGTTATTTACAAGGTCTAACCTAACATTTTTATTCAGATTGATTGATGCAAGTTGAGACGGCAATAAAATATTTTTTATAGTAGCAAAAATAAAAAGTCATAATTACATGAAATAATCTGTTATGATGTTGCCCTTTCCTATACCTGTCATTTACTCAAACTACAAATCCCATAATGCCCCACAGTCACACACCAGTTTCAGTTCACCTTCAAATTACACACACAGCTAAAGGACATCATCCTTAATTGCATGCACCATGCAGTAAGTACTCCATTCACACACATCTAGTGCTGAGTCTTGTTTTACTGTACCCTACTAAATGGTTCTTCCTTGCATTGTTTTGATCATTCTATTGTATACTGTGTTATGATTGCTTACCATCCATCTCAACCTCTTTGCTTTTTACAGTGAAAAAAATATGTCTGTCTTTATGTGTTGAATTTAAACAAATTAAATTTATTAATGTTCAACTTAATTTGTTTGTTTAAATTCAGCCCAAATAAATTGTTTTAAAAAATTTTGTAATTTCAAGGAATCATCTTTGAATCGTTTTTTTCAGTGTATTCTGTTTTTGCTTTGGATCATCCTTTTATCACTGCTTGCTCCAGTTTCGACCCTTGCCTGCCAAACAACTCCAATAGAGCTGCATTTGGATCCTACTCATATCGTCACACTCCAGTTCATTACACTATGATAGGAACAGGCTTCCACACTTACTAAGATACTACAGCAAGTAAAACTAAAAATAAACTTAAAAGCCTTTACCAATTTGTTTAGCCATTTGCGCAGAGTGTAAATAGATGCTGCTGAAGAACATTATTCTAATTTAATTACTGAGGGGCAAGATGGTCAGAATTTGGCAGGAACGACCAGGTCATTTTTTGTATGACTGGGCTCCAAACCAAGAGTGCCATCATGTATCAGTCTATTTCAACACTGTTGTAGACACTATCCACATTAATTAATTATTGCTGTAAATACAGGGGCTCTTTTACTCAGTGTTGCTAACTGAAGATCATAGAATGTAGCTAAACAAAACCGAAAAGAAGTAGAAATTATATTTAGGTCTTCCGTCACAAAATCAACTTCCAAATTATTACATTTAAATATTTTTGATAAGACCATCAAGGTTATGAATTACTAAATAAGCACCGCATCAACTCTCCTGATGAAAGATTATGAGGAATACAACAAGGATCACACATGAATTTAATTAGATGTTAACATATTCACTTTGATTCAAATTAAGTATGTTTATATGGGGAAAACATGCTTGATTTTGATCCAAATTGGAAAATGATGCACTGTTTGGCTGCCCATTTATCATCTCATGCCAGGAAAATTTCCCTTTGTTGGAGACATTTTCCCTGCCGAAATTACAGTACATGCTACTTGGTTCAGTTGTGAGCAGTAAAAAAGAGAAAGAGGTATGATAGACCATCAGTGAAGTCTTTCTGATGCAAGGTGAAGATGGCTTTTAAAATGAGGGGAAATGAACGAAGGGAACCCCTGTAGAGTTCAGCGCGTCTGGCTGATGGCTTTGTTACGGCACAGATTTCTTTTCCTGGGGTGAAATTAAAGGTCGGGTTGAAGTGCTGTGGATGGGTGTTTATTGTCGCACCTGCAGAATTTGGTATAAAGTTTGAAGCATATCTCGGATTC